AATCCAGCTCAAATTTCAAATTTATTTATTATTTATGTTTATGCATCAACCCTAAAAATTAAAAACAAATCAAACACATTAAGTATGAGCCCCGTCCGTTTTGGTATGGAACGCCCCATTCATATGTATATACATACATACATCAGTGGAGATTTTGAAAACCATTTAAACAAGTTAATAGTAAAAATGTATTTTTGAAACAAGCTTTCTAAATATGGCCAGAAAAATGTTAAAGAAGGCCCACCACTGTACTCTTTCGTAAAACTCTCGTATTGTTTTAAATCGAAAGCTTAAATTTCGCCTTTTTTATAATAGATTGAAGGTTTTCATTAATGGTTAAAACTCCAATTTGCATCTTTTCAACCTACTTTTGACCATCAACCTCAAAGCAGGATTCTTCAACCCTCCGATCATTTTTGCTCATACCCCTGTAGAAGAGCTGGCCGAGGCGTCCAAATATCTATTTCATGAGAGCTTAGAGCGCACTTACGAGCGCTGCCTAATGAGCGATTGTGCTTGACGATTTCTATGTCAAATTAAAAAGAGAACCCAAATTAATTATGTTGTCATAGGCGGAAGATATACTTTCAGTGTCTTAGTCGTAGTTACTATACAAGAGCCAAAAATGACTCGGACCACCAAGATACACTCGAAAGGTCAACTGGTATGGCGAGAAATATCGAACCGCTTCAGATGAAAAAGATCCCACCTAAAGGGCCATGCTTAAAAAGCATAAGCTTCTAATATCCATTGATTTAAGGCTGCGATGGTCGAAGAGAGCATTTACTCTGTACGCGTCCATATAAAATGTATAGAAAGCTTGAAAGAGACATCCAAGGCTGCCAAGAGCTTTTGCTCCCCATATTGCTTCTAAGAGCAATGGCAAAGATGGTGTTGGATGGGTTTCTCCTTGTTCTCGCCCATGCAACTTCTGTAGTAGCCGTTTCAGGGTACATCCGGTTTGGCACGAAACAAATATTTGAAAAATAAAAATGCATGTGTGTGCGGAGGTTCTCAGCCATCTAATGTATATCGACGGCATTGACCAACTATTTTGGATTAATATTATCTTCCTGACCGTTTCTAATCATCATTCTTCCCTTGGAGCGAGACATGTCATGAGCATGTTGAAAACAGCGCGGGTGGTGGGATGCAGTCGGTCCAGAAAAGTTGGTCTAAATTTTGAAGCAATCGATATGTGGATACGTGCATTTCATAGTCGCGTTGAGTCTGATGTCAGAGTTACACGCCAACTTTTTTGCAGACAGATCCGTCGTAAGAAAGTGTCGAACGCAGACCAACTTCGTAGTATATATCAGTAGAGAAGACAGTCGTTGCACCTTACCTAGGTTCGAATCGTAACATCCGTTAACGGATCGAAAACCATACGAAAGAAAAGTACGTAATGCGTCAGTCGTATAAGTTGAATGGAATAGAGGGTACGCCGTAATCAAAAAAATTTGACGATTCCAGACCTGCTTTCTAAGCGTTTATCTTTTGTTTTAGTAACATTCCACCAAACTGTTACTCCGTAGAAATGAATTGGTCTTACCTCGCAATCCAGATCCATGCTTCAAACTTCAATCGGGGCTTAATTTATATTCTGAAAGAGAAAGGCCGAAATAGCAACACCGAAAAGGAAGAATGCCCAAAAATTTTAACAGACAAATAGACGGTTTAAGGAAAGTTTCAAGACCAGGGTGATTGTCCTTCTATTATGGAGCGAACACTTTTCCACTCTCTTAATGTCCACCGCCCGACAGACACTCTGCCAAATCTAAAAGAAAGGTGACCCTGGTATGCATATGCGCTGCCTCTTAAACGTCGAATATAAAGCCTTATTGAGTGTATTGTGTTAAAGACTAAAGCCTACCCATCGTCGAAGATTCGATTAGGTCTCATCAGTGTGGCATTGTACCTGATAAATATGCTAAGCCAAATCTTGCAAGATGCCCGCGAGAGGAGAAATGACACACACTATGTCCTTGTGGATTTTAAAGCCGCTTTAGACAGAACGAAAAATAGCCTATACGCAGAGTTATTTGAATTTAGTGTTCCTGCGAGACTAATACTATATACACATAACATACATACATACATACAGTCGCGTAAATGCTTCACTCCTGCAACTATGCGAGTACGCATACACAATCCTACTACTCCATTCATAATCTCTGTCGCCTAAATGTGCATTTTACCAGCACTTCGCAAAGCTATCAAAACACTTTTAAACGCCACACTGAAGTGCGAATGAGCATTTGTGATATGTATGTATGTTGCTCATATCTTAATGTCACTCATAAAACTCACTGATTGCTACTCTTTTCTATGAAATATACTACGCTTTCCTGAAAGTAGCGAAAAACATGCGGGAAATGCGTAAAATCTTTTGCTGCTGCTGCCCCACCACTGTTGCACGACATCTGCTTGCCCCAAGCGTTAAAGCCTGCCGACACTGTATGTAGTAAAATGCGCCATTTAATTCGCTCGTAAAGTTTTTAAACGCCTTCAAATGCAGGCGAGAAAGTCATAGAGTCATCATCCATTCGCAATACAATTAAAAGTGTTGAGGCGCATTAATGTACGCCAGCAGTGCGAATGACTCAATTTTGGAGTGGTTTGAGGGTTGTGGATTGATTTTCACCTCTTACTTGCTTCGGTGAATATTGGATTCTAGTTGAGTTGCACATGAAATCGCATCTAGTGCGCTGACAATTTTGATACGAATTTGAAATTTTTTTTCGGTGACAACTCCTCGTCCATCATCAGCACGATCGACAGACAGTTCGCACATACCAGTAACGCTTCTTATACATAGCTAAGTATCTGTTAGATACAAGGTTTATGATTACGCACGACTCTCAAAAACGTGCGCATGCGTGAACGCATACTATGTACACACATCAAACGCCAAACGATTGATGACGCCACCAATCGAGTTGTTTTTGTATGAACGTACAGGCAGGCAATGTGCATGCCGCACATCGTGACTGCGAGCGTGTGTGGCTTGACTTGAGCCGATTGTTTGGATGGATGGACGGACGGCTAGGTAGATTTGTTGAATGCCCCACAAATCACGCCGTCGCTTCGCCGCTACTCAGCTGGCTGCTGATGTATCACGCCTGGAGATTTATGAGCTCTTTTAAGAATGTGACATGTGACAATGTGCGGTGGTTGTGGAGGGGCGCGGGCGCGAAGACGCAAGCTCATACACACCTTCACTCGATTACACACAACAACAATTTGATTGAAGACTTTCGAAATATTTTTCGGTATTTCCTAAAATCGCATGGCATTTGAAAGCTTAAACTGTGGCTGGCTGTAAACCCGCTCAGCTGAAAGGCACTCGGGCTGATTGTTAGCCTGACGATCACCTTTGGCAGCGATTAGCGCTTTAAACCGCTGCTTAGTTTGGAGAAAAATTACAGCCACACAGAGTCTTAGATTATGGACGATAAATTTCTTTCTATGTAATCAAGGGGAATGTTCATTCAATAAGACAACTTGAGGCGACCAAATATTTATGTGGAATTTTAGATGGGAAACATTTTTTTATTTCCCCTTTAAGATTTTAGAAGCTCACCGCAAAACATCGAAATTGTGTCATTGCTAAATTTTCTTAAATAAATCTATGTTTCTCAATTAATTATAAAATAAAATATGGAACGCCCGCTGAAGCGAATTTTAGTAATAAAATATGCCGGCGCCAGAAACTCAGGCAACTCAGCGCTCGACCAGGTGCCAACTTTTCGTTGAATTATTTAGTAGCGCAATTAGCCGAAAATAGCTTCTGTTGGTGTACTGCGTAGTAGAAAGTTTAAAGACAAAAGAATAGAGGAGAAACCGCTTTGAAGTTGTGGTGCAAAATATATACCCTACACGCAGCCACAGAAGAAACGGCTGTTAAATGGCAAGCAAGTGGCCGTAGTAGGTAAACTAATCTACACAAAAGGAGGGTATATCCATATGTATATTAAAAATAAAGCAAATCGCCACGCTCTTACAAAAATATCATTATTCCATCATCTCCGGCAATTTTAACGCATTTACATGCAAAAGTACATGAAAGATTTTTATCACCTTCGCTTTCGTGGAACGAACTCAAAGAGATCACAAAACAAAAATAAAAAAAAAACCACAAAATGCTTTAACAAAGCTGGAAGGAAGCACGGAAAGTTTAGTGTGCTCAGCTGCAAAATAGCGAATTAACCAGCCGCTGCCCCAAAAACATGCACCAAAATTAATTGGGTGCGTTAAACGTCGGCAAACAGCAGAATTCAAATAAATTTATGACTAATTTTCGAAAACATAAATAAATGTACACATGCACATACACATACATATGTATATACGCATAGATGTTTGCAGCTATTTAGACGTCCAAAGGCAACTCAAAATAACTCTTTGTGATTACGTCTAAAAAAAAAAAACTATGAAGGCCACAAGAAAAAACTCAAAAATTCCATGCATTCGCGCTGAAATAAGGCGGCAATAGTTACTTTTTTTTTAATCATAAGCGACATATTTTTATTTGCTTAATTTTGTTCAAGAAAAACGCCCGGCATTAGCCAATATATCACGCTAAATGTTGGAGAAAAAATTGTTTGAGGTGCGTGTTTGCTTTGCGCGATCTGTCTGCGATCTAATCAGCTCATAAATATAATACTTAGTACGAAATTTTGTTGTACTTTTATTGTACAATATGTATAGCCAATGCTACCGACAAAATTAACAGCCACCGCAGAACAATTTAATCTAGTTTATTGCGTGGCAACTTGGAAGTGTGTTGATGTGGTCGTAAAAATTCCAGTAGGTATGTGCGTGTGTAGTGCTGAAAAACCCTTGCTTTTATTTCGGTAGCTAAATTGATTTCATCATTTATTCGTTAAATTTTAGAAACATGGCTTCTTTAAGCATTAACTGTTTTTTCGCGATAGTAATCTACATTTTTCGGTTACTCCGCAATAAGTTCGGGGAATTTCTTACAAAATCCGTAGAAGTGTGTATATCGTCCCCTCAATATAACAATAGCGTATGTGCTCATACGCCATTATTTTTTTATTGCATATTTAGAATCTCCATCATTGATTCTATGTCTGGTCAAAATTTCGTCAAATTCTACTTCCACAAAGTGGGTCAAAATGTCATTGGAAAAAATGGTGTATAATTTCTTGTTCAAAAATTTAATAGACATCTGATTTGACAAAAACTTTAAACTCGATTTTCCCAAAACCCCAAAAAAATTATACGCTATTGTTATATTGAGGGGACGATATGTAGATAAATATGTATTAGCATATTCATTAATGTCTATAATTGCCAAACATTTACATATGTATGTACCTACATCAAATTTTTTTTTTTTTTGTAAATTTCAAGACCCTACCCCTAATTTTATTCGTTTTTATGAGAAATATTATTGCCTATTCTTATAGATTTTTTAAAGGTCATTTAGAGGTCGCGAGCTGTCGATTTAGGTCAGAAAATACGATCATGTAGATATATGAGTTTTTGAATGACCATTTTTTATTCGATTTCAAAGATCGAGTATGATCTGAGAAGAGGATATATAGGCCTTTAAAATGGTATATAATAATTACCGATCTGACCTTGTAGTAGATATGACAGTAGAGTTAAATAAATAAAGGGTGACAGATTGGTTCAAAATTCATATAAAGTAGGCTTCCCCTCCAAAGTCCTAGAATGTATCACTTGTCAAGACATCAACTCAGTCAGCTCGATTTATTCGCATCGGGACTACAGATAAGTAAATATCGTGGTACATTTCAATAAGGTGCACGTTATTATGGCTACTTCCTGCAGGTATTCTTTGGGAAGATACCAGGGTTGGAAATATGCAGAATCTCTGATTCCGTGACTAAAGAGGTGTGCTTTGGCAGAAAGTTCCAAGTGATAATCCCCGATCCCGAAGATTGTGCAAATAGGCTCCCTGCACTTGATTCCAGATATGTACCCTGGTACACAAACAGTTCAAGAGTGGGAGACAACCTTGCACCAAACTTGCAATACCCACGGTAAAATGGCCCACAGTGTTTCACGCTGAAGTAAGTAGTCACAGTCTTAAACTGCGCAAAATAAAACCTTGAAAAATGATTGAAGAGCGCTTTTCTGGTTATCGTTTCAAACAGCCAAGCAGCCATCCGGGTCCTTTCAAACAGGACTTTGAAATCCCAGCTGGTTAAAGACTGCTTTGGCACGCTATAAATTTTGGCAGCCAAAAACACGGTAACATTGTGCTGGATACCAGGCCTTTGTGGAATCGAAGGCAATGAGGTCACCGACGAGTTGGCAGTTGCCTTTTTGGCAACTGAACCATTCTGTGGTCTCAGTTTGTTCCATTCGAGCGCCATAATTACTGAGTTGGTACACTCTCAACGCAGTAAGTACTGGGGAGCGGTGGGGGTTTAGTGCATCTCACAGCTTTGCTGTAAGCTCTCAGTAAATCAGCGGTGTCTTGGTCTTAGTAGGAGTATACAAATTATTTTGCGAAGACGCTGAATTCGGGTGCCTGTTTATTGCTTCTTGACCTGAATAAGTGTTCGCTTTGTTCACTGATATTGCACAAGGCTTTTCACAGGACCAGACTCTTCGAGCTATGATGCTTGCTTTGGAGGTGCTTGAATATTTATTTGATTGCATTTTTCTTTCTATACCAGCGCTACCCAAGTCACTATAGATTTATTAAGTAGAAAATAGAAATCATGTTTCCCAAGCAATTAAGCGAAGGTTCTACTATTGCATATATCCATGTCCGTATGTATATGCAATTCCGCTTACATTGCCTTACATGTTCATATTTTCTTGCAATTTCACTCAATTTAACACTGCTGTCTATTAGATCCGCTAAAGCCATAACTCTTCTGCGCCTATCTATGATCCTGTCTAACAGCATGAAGACAAGAAATTAGGGTCAACTTTGGTGTGCGTGTACGCCGAATAGAGAGGTGCTGAACCCGAACCCGAACCCGAACCCGAACAGACGCCTAATCAACAAAAACAACAACAATACAAACGCCACCACCAACAACACCATTTCCTACAACAACACAATGACAGCGATGACAGACAACGACCAGAGGAACACACTTGCATAGGAAACAGTAAAAAAACGAGCAGCAAGAAGAAGAAAAATGATCAGCGCCAGCAGCAGAGGGCAAAAAGAAATGGCGAAATGTTCATAAATTATTTCTAGCGCATTCATAACATTTAGGTACGACAAATGTATGCAGAAAATAATGGTGTTAAGCAGCCTTCAACACCTCATTGGGAGCGGCGTGTCCCATCCGGTCGCGGCGTGTAGACGTCATGCAGCAGTCTGCCCATAAGTGGACGTACATACAAATGTGGCAGCCAAAGCGGCAAGGGCAGCGGTGGCGGTTGCGCTTGCTGGCGCTGCTGCAATGCTGCGATTTTCATCGAACATTTAGACAAAAACCAAAAAAAAAAACAACGCGAAAAAAGGGGAAACAAAAGACAAGTGAAGTGAAGTTAGAGCTTTGCTTGAACGGCTGCTGCCAGCAACCACAAGCGAACAACACAAGATCAGATCGAACATCAAAATAAATCAACGCAAAATTAACTTGACTTATGCGCAGTCATATTCTTAGCGGGATATCGAATTGCCAACTGAACGCGCTACACAAACGCGCACTCTCACACACATTCTCAGCCACATACACCTACCACCTCAACGAAATCGGAGTTGCAGATGGAGTTGGAGTGGTAGTTAGCAGCTTTGGTCAACTGAGGTCTGCTGCCGGTGCACGTCATTGGGTAACGAGCCAAAACAGATAATACGCTGTAGCAGCGGTGGCACACAGCTTGGTAGAAGACAGCAGCAGCAACCAGCTCTGGCAGCTGAGTTTTCAGGATGCACAGGAGGGTGTGGGCAACGCAATTGAAGCAAACAGATCAGTACACAGTCAGGCGGATGTTTGGACAGTAGGATGTCATGGCCAGGCCAGCCATATGCAGGCGATCGGCCGCCGCCGAGCATCCAACGCACAGCAAAACAGCAAAAGCTCATCAAGTGCATGCAAATCGCAAGCTGTGATCACCAGCCAACAGCCGACAGCCAGCAGCCAGTCAGCCAGTCAACCGGGCTGTCACAGCGGCACACAGATTTACTAAACATACATACGTGTAGGTATATATGTGTACCCGGCGAGCGAACAGACAGCGCCCAACGGAGGGGGTTACAGGCAAAAATCAGAATTTGAATCTTGAAAGCCTAAAACCAGCAAATGCTGCCTACAAAACGACAACACCAATTGATTAAAAATTTTAATTATGGTGCAAGAGGCATTGCTTGGACCTCAACAGAGCGCCAACTGCGCCGGTAGTTGGTGCAGCGGCGGAGTGGCATGCGAAGGGAGCGAAATGTTTTCATGTTTGTTGACGTTTGTGTTTTGAATTCATATTTATTTTATATGGTTTTTTTTTGGGCTTTTTTTGTTTTTTTTTTTTTTTTTTGTTAGTGTGCACACGCCCACCTGAACAAAAGTCTCAGAAAATGAAGACAGCGAACATGATTTATGAATCTGGAGAATCATGTTTGGCATAGATATGTGCGTTCGAGTCATCTGCGAATGATACTCATAAATACGCTCATTGATGGCAGAAGGCACCAGAAAGAAAAGAAGTTGTTGTGGAAGCTATTGGCTGCTTTCTAAAATTTTCTATTAGAAGCAAAAAGGGCTGCGGCGCGACAGGCACACACACATGAATTTAGGTACTAAATGCGCTGCGAGTAGACATCAATCAAAGCACTTCTCTTGTAACAAAATTTTGATGTTGCTTCCCCCCTTTACTAAAGATTACTATTTAGGTACCGCAAGGCATACAGTACAGTTTTTTTTTTTTTTGATGTTTTACCCCATAAAAATTCCACATAAACTTACACTAATATTTCACGCTTATAACTAATTTAAAAACACAGACACAACAAGCTGTCAACCGCAATTATCTCACCCAAATATTTCACTGAATTTTATGTCATAATTTAATTTACATTAGACTGCGAGGGGAATTTATAAATACATAGGTTGATATCTACATAGATATGCGTGAAATGTGAAAAATTTTAAGTTTAAAGTTGTGGATAGGTGCAAGGCTAGAAAAAAAATTTTTCTTCAAGCAAAAGCGGCGCGATCAATTTCGATTGTACATCACAGCTGCTCAAGGTTTTCTGGCTTTCTAAATTCCCTACCACATGTACTACGAAATCCAGTGCTCGAGCATGGAAAACTCACACTGATGCACTTTCACTCAAAGATCGCTAGTGATCCGTTGCTGTCATTTGCCTTTGCTGATTCTTCACTCACATTCGCTCTCGCCATAAAAATTGGTCGTCAAATGTCAATGCATTACAGGAAAACACAATGACCGCCCTAGCCACATATGTATGTATGTATGTAGCCTCCTTGTGGCGCCTCGAACACTACCAAACAATAGGAACAGACATAGATAGATAAAATTGTAGGAGCGCAATAAAAATCATTGACACCACCACTAGTTGACTTCGAGGCTATTCCTTATAAATAGATCTTCATTGATAATTCCACTCATTTCGTTAGGCAAGTGTTCGACTTACAGCCGGCTAAGGGTTGATGCGCTTACCACACTGCATTGTTGTTACAGGGTTACAGAGAAAGTGGCGTGCCACATAAGTGGAGGGCGTGTATGTATATATATACGTATATGTATGAGTATTTTTACATCTGCGCATACCATCGATTGGTAATCAAGTTGTTCTTTTACATTAATGTCTTCAACATGTCACATCAAATGTCAAATAGTCTGAAATAAATGAGGCTTTTAGGCGATAAACAATTGAGAGAGATGAATTTGATGGACTAAGTTGACAGACGTACACGCACGCATGCAACTACGTACATATTTCTTGAATGCTATGCAAGCAAAAGTTGTGATGGGAAAAGAAATTAGGCTGTTGTTAATTTTTAATATGTTGTACTTCTATAAAATAAAAAGTGTTTTCAGTAGCAAAACTTAGACAGCAGTGGGTGGCAGAAAATTGTGTGAATTTATGCATTCGAATAAAAACTGGAACGCGACATTTTATTTAAGGTTTATTATTTTCTTATGAAAGTATAGCTAATTATTTAACAAACACCATATATGTACATAAATTTCCAAATTTCAGACTTTGTGCA